ATATATAAAACATATATAAAACATATATAAAACATATATAAAACATATATAAAACATATATAAAACATATATAAAACATATATAAAACATATATAGAATCATATAAATACAATAGTATGGATATATAACATTTACATATTAATATATATGTATGAAAATATATAAATAGATATTTATATAAAATATACAAAATATACATTTAGAGAGCATATGCTCACTAAATCGAGCAGGAGCTGTGTGCTGAGAAATAAGGTTTCAAAATACCTGGAGCTGACAACCCAGACAGGCACAGTGGGGTTTCAGACTGGACTCAGGCCCTAGAGACCATACCCAAAATTCTCCTAATTCCCAAGATAATTCTTTCAAAAACAAAAGCCCCCCCAAAAAAAAAAAGAATAAATCAACCAGGGACTTACTGGATGCTGAGGTCACGTCCCTTTGCTGTGCCTCGACTTGGGTACCGTGCCAGGCCTGAGGACAAAGCCTTTAATCTCTTCCTGCATTCCAGAAAATCCTGGTTGAAATGAAAATCCGTGGAGGCCGAGAGGGGAAGCCCGTCCCTCACCCTCACCACGCAGGCAAAGAAGATCAGGGACATCCTCCACTGGAGTATTCATGAGGACAACCTGAAAATGGAACGTCACCTCGGGTTCAGGGAGGTGAGAAAGTTTCCAAGCCAAAATTCCGGCCGGGAATAGGTCAGGGGAAAAGTTTATTCAGCACTGAGACTGAACAGCACCTCTGCCGTGGAAAGGTAACCAAACTGGGCGTGGCTGTGGCCATTTTTTGCCTCTCTCAGACTAAAAGGTGAGGCAGGGGATTTGACAGGGGAATTATCTACCTGGAAAACATCCCTATTTTCCCTGCTTTGCTTTATTTAAGCGTCAGAAACACTGAGTAAAGTTCTTATTTATGGACCTGCAAACAGCTGCAGGAATGTTGCAGTTCCCTCATTTTCTACTGCAACACAGAAATCCAAGAATAAATTTTAGGCTACAGCCTGTCAGGCTCTTTTTAGACTCACCTAGGGCTAAATATAGAATAAAAGCTGCCCTCTCTTGTCTTCCTGGTCACAAACTTTCCCAGGGAAAGTTATTACTGGGATTTACCTGGTACATTCAGAACATGCAGAGATCTGTCCTTCAGACATACCATGAGGATCCAGAGGACTAACACAGCAGCTCACATAATATCTGAAAGAGAACCATAATGAACATTTTAAAAAAAACCTAATTAATAACTTATATTTACTATAAGAACTCCCCTTCAGTGGGTAAACATATCCTAGAAAGTATTTTGCCTGAGGGAAAACAAACAACTTATTTTCTTATTAATTAATACATTAATTTCTACACACATTCAAAGACATTAAGAAATGATAAGTAAAATGTTTATGATGCCCCAATCATAATTTTTTTAATTTAGCACAATAAAAGAGCAGCTCTAAATCAGTGGATTTTAAGGAATTATCAGAAACAAGTCAAGGAAGAAAAAGAAAAAAAAAAAAAAGAAAAAGAAAGGCATTTACTTGGCTTCAGGCAAACTACATAAATAAAGCATTAGGGAGTAAAAAGAAAGAAACAAATTCACCCTGTGAACTCAAACTTTAGATAGAGAAGGACTGTTTTAACCAGCCCTGTATCACACAATTCATTAGGATGCTCAAAGCATCTTTGAAATGTGTCTCATCAAAACATGTTTTTCGTGTCTAAGAAGTCCTGGGAGCAAAAACTCTTCTAGTTCAGGCAACAGAAACTCTTAAAACTGCCCTGATTTCTAATAAAGGTTGAGTTCCTACCACAAGCAGCACTAAGAAGATCTCATTTCTGCTCCAGAAGAATCATTTCCACACAATTTGTGGGAACAATCCCTCTGTCCAAGGTGGCAGCAATTTGCCAGCAGGTTAAAGCAACTACAATTATCAGAAAGCACGAGGGCACATAACTTGTTCCCTTAGAAAAGCAAATTAAAAGAAGACCAGATATTTCTTGAAAAGTGCTATTTTAAACTTTTAAAATGGAAATCGAAGAATTAGATGTTATTCTTTTTCCACTGTGCCCTCTCACAGTTCTCCTCCCGTTGAGGAAAATCAAACCAAGCTCACAAACCTCATGTCAACACCCAGCAAAAAAGAATTTCAACAATAATCAAGATTGTTATAAGTCAGCTTGAAACATCACATTGTTCTTTAATGTGCTGTGGTAGCAGCCACGAAAGAAACAGTGCAGAAAATTAACATACAAGTGAAATAAAAACAAAAAATACACCTGCTAACTCAGAAATATTAACTTTAACACAGCCAGCTTTTGAGCACAGTTGCTCAGAACAGCACTGTTAAATGGTGAAAAGCTGGTAGCACTGATGAAGTTTAACTCCAAAATAACTCCAGAACAGGCAAGAGATGGGTCAGGAAAACAAAAAAGCACCAAGCTTAGAAAAATCAAATACATTTTCTAAACCTATCTGGCCTATGAAACTATTCAGCTCCCTGTGCCACTAACAGTAAGAGTTTAAAATTAAATATATATATATATATATTTATTGTTCACTAAGGCAAACATCACCAACTGTACATAGAGAGTGGTACAGCTTCCCAAGACACACAAACCTCCCTGGTGCAGGGCACGAGGCTGTCCCTGAGTATCAGCTGCCCATCAGAGGGATCCTCTGATCTCCTGAGAAATATCTGCTGTGGGTCCTCACCAGGCCAATTCCAAATTAACAGCCAGACTTCACTGCAGAAATGAATCCATACCCCTTCCTGGGACAAAGCACCCTCCAAGGAGGCTTTGGGTTCTCCTCCTCCTTTGTCACAAGCCTCTTGTTCCTTGCACAGAGTGCTCTGAGTTTGTGACAGTCACCAGTGTCCCCTCCCTGGCAGTTTTAACTACTTGCAAGCCACTTTTGCCACGTCACCCGTGACAAACTGTCACAAACTGGTCAAGGTGTGCCTGTCTGTGACCCAGTGACTGGATGCTGCTCCTGTTCCACATCTACTGCCCTTTCCTCCTCCAGGCTCCTTCTGTTTGCTCAGGGTCAGGAGCACAAAGATCTGCAACCACCTGTACGTGGCAGGTCTTTGACCTTGGGTCCCGAACGTGGGCAAAGTACTCGTGTCCCTGGACTGGGTAGATATCAAATCCTGCTGTACTCACAATGAATAACATCACACCAACATCAGACCACTGAGATTTCACTGGTACAAAGCAGCCAGAACACTGAGATGTATTTTGACCAATTGTTTCAGGAGAACAAGTTGTAATTTCTGACTGAAGCAAAGAAAGTTGATTTTTCACTATTTAAACCATCTGTACACCCAACAACACTTTAAAATAAAACTGTTTAGTGCAGGACTCAAACAGCACACATTTACCACCATTAGAACAAACAGTTCTTTGGTGTATTTCCATAGTAGGTGTCTAGGTTACCTGAAGCACAATTCCTCCCTCCCTCACCTCCTAAGCAGCAGACAACTCTCTCCAGTGTCTGCCTGGGGATTATCAAGGCAGCCTTAATCAGACCCCTTGCACTTTACTACACTGTTACACAACTCCTCTGGGTAAGGAGATTAAACCCAACTCACCAGGCCCACACTTCCCCACATGCTCCATAAACTCCTGCTTGACTGCCTGCACTTAGGAAACAATCTACTCAAAAGAGAGCAAATGGAAACCAGTGCATAGTTCATGAGGGGAATGATGTTAAAACACACCTCTTTCAGAAATTATTCTATCTAACCATCAAAAGAAGAAAGTTTCCTTCCAGGAACAGCACAACACTAACGAGACATATCTTGTTAACCAGGATTTCTCTCAAGTATTTGACTTCCCTCCCTGTTCAGAGCCACATTTCCTTTCTTTCTGTATCCAAGCCTCAAACACAACAACATCCAACTATTTTTTCCAGTCCTGACCTTCCTCCTGAATGGAGAGCAGAAAGCTTTAGTGGATGTTACCATGGTCCTGAAGCAGTCTGTGAAGTTTTTTGGACATGTGACAGCTTCACACATGACCATAACTAACGCACTAAAGCATCTTTCCTCAGGTAGGCAATCTCCAGAGTCATGGACAGCTACAGGTGGGATGCTGGACTACAAGAGAGATTCAGCTTGACTCAATCAAACACAAAACCTTTAACAGAGCTGCAGCTCAAGGGTTGGCTTCAGTCCAAAGAAAAGAAAACAGCTGGGATGTGGTTCATGAGGGAGAGTTACTACATCTCTGTGGGATCACAAGGTGGATTTTACCCTCTTCTCACATATATAAACAAGCAAATCCAAACCACTGTTAAATTCTCATCTTCTAAGATTGCAGGAGTTGTATCCACGTGCTCCATCCCAACTTCTCCCCCTCCACGCCCCCAGCAGTGCTGACCAGCTACATCACAGACCCCCAGCAACAAGAGCCACTCTCCAGACTGAGCAGTGAATTAAAGCAGTCTGAAACCACGGTGTTATCTCAAATTTTAAAACAGGATTTGTGCATATCCAGAGCTTACAGGCTCCTATAAATCCTCCAGGCTTTATCTTTATCCCTAAAGGGAAGCATGTAGAAAACCTTTACCATCACAAATCTCCTGTCTACACAAACTCCTGTGAATTATCAGGAATGAAGCATGTTACACAAACCTCAAACCCCAGCATTCCATCAATCCCACTGTCCCAATGGACAGGCCTCCAAACCACACCATAACAACTCTGTGAGGCTCTGAAACTTTGCCTCACCTTAATCTGTCAGGAACACCAGACACTTTATACCTGTTCCCAAAAATGCACCCACCCCACCCAGCTGAAGCCTCCCAAAGCCCACCAGCTCACCCCTGTACCCTCACCAGTCCATACAACTAAGGACCCTTCCCACATCCATCCTGCTCCACTCACAGCACTCCCACCTCTTCTCCCCCATGTTAAGCATCCAAAAATTCCCAAAAGAACCCCTTTCCCACACTCTTCAATAAAACCAGACGCCCTGAAACCAAACACACACACAGCCCCCCTCAATCAGGACTGACAAGTCCCCCCATACACCCCTCGAGCACCCCAGACACCCCCAAATCCTACTCCCACCCCACAGGTCCCAAACTCTCATGTTATCCCAGTTCACCTCAAGCCATCCCCAACCCAACCTAAATCCCACTCAGAGTCCCAAATCCTCATCCTCTACCCCTCAGGCACCCCAAGGAACTCGCAACTCCAACATCCACACCAAAGGATCCCAATCCCAACACACACATCCCCCTCCCCACCACAACAACCCTCAAGACCCAAACTCCCCTTATTGCCTCCCACAGCCCCCCAAGCTCCCCAAACCACACCTCTCTGCCAGAGGACCCCCAAAACACCCCCTCACATCAGCCCTGCTCACCTCAGTCCACCCAGCTCACCCCCAGGGCTCTTCCCTTCCCATACACCCCCTCAAGCACTCCAAGGAACCTCCAATTCCAACATCCATCCATACAACACGATCCCAACACACACACCCCTACTCACCCCCACCCCATCCCCACATCCCCCTGCCCATCCCCTACCCCATTCCCACACCTTCCAACACTCCAATTCCCCTTATGGCCTCTCACACCCCCTCAAGCATCCCAAGAAATCCCCAAAACCTAAATCCATACCACGGGATCCCAACGCCAACACACACATCCCCCTGCTCACTCCCACCCCATCCCTACATCCCCTAACTCGCCTCATCGCCTTCCAGACCCCCTCAAGCAACCCAAACCTCCCCTCCCTACCAGAGGACCCCCTAAACCTCCCCTCCCATCACCCCAGCTCACCCCCAGGGCCCTTCCCTCCCTCCAAGGAACCCCAAATCCAACATCCGCCCCTACAACGGGATCCCAACACACACATCCCCCTGCTCACCCCCACCCCATCCCTACACCCCCCAAAATCCCTTCATCGCCTCTCACAGCCCCCCAAACACCCCAAACCTCCCGTCCCTGCCGGAGGACCCCCAAACACCCCCTTATATCACCCCAGCCCCCCCGGATCGCCCCGTCCCCGGGTCCCGGAGGAGCCGGAGGAGGAAGAGGAGGAAGAAGAGGGCCGGTGCCCGCCCGGACCCTCCGCACTCACCGTCCCCGCCCGTCCCGCGGCCTCTCGGGCCTCCGGCTCCGCCACAGC